ATGTTTTTAAATCACTGAACAGTTCCGCCCCATCCTATCTCACTGATCTTCTGCAGCCATATGTCCCACCGCGCTCTCTGAGGTCAGCAGACCAGATGCTTCTCTCAGTCTCAGAAACCCGTCGTAAGCTCAGAGGTGACAGGGCTTTCTCTGTTGCAGGTCCACGACTGTGGAATGAGTTGCCACTGAGTGTCCGGCAGGCTCCCACACTCTCAGTCTTTAAGTCTCGCTTGAAGACCCACTTCTATTCTCTTGCCTTTAACACGTTGTGATTTGTTTTGGTCCGGTCTGTTCTCTACTCTGTTGGCCATTTTAGTTAGCTTCTGCTGCTAATTGTATCTGCATTTCTATTTTATGTTTTCCTGTCTGCTGTGCATGTTTGTTTTCTTTTGTACAGCACTTTGGTTGGCCTTGTTGCTGTTTTAAGTGCTCTATAAATAAATTGGTATGGTATGGTATGGTAAAGCACGTAGCATCATTATGGACCACACCCACCCAGCACAAGGATTCTTCCATCTACTACTCTCAGGTAGTCGATACAGGAGTCTGCCATCGTGTACAAAAATACTCAAAGACTCAAAGACAGTTATTATCCACAAGTTGTCAGATTACTGAACTCTTGATTAATAACAATGAACAACTAGCAATAACTTTGCACCAAGCCACATCTGTGACAACTAATATGACTAATATTAGCTTGTGATTAGGGGTGCAGAAATAAATTGATTTTTCGATGAATCTAGATTCTTAGTCCTGGCGATTCTGAATCATTTCTAAAGGTCCATAAATTGATTTTAAAATGCATTTAAGTTTTATATTTTTTCTGCTCCCACTCCCTGTTCCAAGTAGGTATCGCTGCAGGCAAATTCAGAAGGCTTATCTGGGGGGGCCACATCTGATTGGACTATAGGAAAATGGGCGTGTCTGGCTGGCCACATCTGATTGGAGGATAGAAAAATGGGCGTGTCTGGCCGGCCACATCTGATTGGACGATAGAAAAAACAGGATGAACGATAAAAAAACGTTTGTATTAACCACAGACACATTATGTCTATGGTGTTAACTGGTTCGACATTAGCGGTGTCTCAGGTTTAACATTGGCGGTGTCTCGGTTCGACATTAGCAGTGTCTCCATAACTTCTCTTTCCGCCTCTCTTAACACAGAACTTCCGGTTACATTTCAAAATAAGAGCAACATAACTGGTTAGTGGGGAGAGCTAAATGTTAGTTTTTTTGAATACCTAGCCATAACATTAAAAAACAAAATCCATTTTGGTTGTTGAAAAATGTGAAAATAGTTGCAATTGATTCATAAAGAAAGAAAAATATTAATGATACTTAAACTGGCCTTGGGACAAAGGATGTTGTCTTTAACTACACATTTTCTTGTTCAACCTGCAGTCACTGCAGATGAGTGATTGTCAGTTTCTGTAAGATTTCTGCAACTGGAGCAGGTATTTCTGTTTACTGGTTAACTTCCTCAGCTGTCTCACATTTTAAGGGTCAACCCTACTCCATGTTTCAGCTCCTTTCATAGATCACATCTCATAGAAGAGCATTTCTAAAGAGCAAATTTTGTTTTTAGCTTTTGTTTTGGGCCATTATCTTGTTACAGGACTCATGATCTTTAATCAAAACCAGATTTTTTGGACAAATAGGAGCAGGTTTCGCTTCAGATATTTCATA